CATATTTGGATGCAGCATGTGCTGGCAAAATACCTGATGGAACTGTCCATATGTGCAATATTTACCTGTTGGGTTGACCCGATTCCTTTCCTTTGTGCCTTTTTCTTGATTTAGGTAAATAATTGGTGATATTTGGCCTGAACACAATATTTAAAAGATAGTATTGTTGTTTTGGTGTCAAAAGTTCAAAAATAATCTTCACCAAGTTTGAGGATTATTTATAAATTAAAGGAGAGAATATAGGAAGGAATATAAAATTCACATATGTGGAATAGTACTGGATTGTGTCCCAAATTATCAAATTTTTGGCCCAAGAGAAATGATAGTATTGGTTTGGACACAGTGTGTTAGCTGGGGTGAAGCACCTTAACCACTGAGAGAAATGGATGAGGAAAACAGCACAAGGTTTGTCTGAATGATAAGTATATACATGGGAGATATAATCACAGCCAAAAAGTAGTGAGTCCGTATAATTCTTTACATCCTTGGGCATGAGTGCTAAACATCAGAGTGGTGGTAAATATGCTGCTGTGGCATTCTACAACCTGAAATGCTTTTTAAATTGCACTTTGACTGATACAATCATTCTCTGAAAACTGAATCTTTATAAATATTAATATTACAATTCTACAAATCACTTAAAATAGCAGTAAATGAATGTAAACACTTCTCTTTTCTTAACTAACATAGGGTAGTTCCTTTGAAAGGCTTCTTCAGAGTCCTCTGTCTTTGACAGAGTAGTATATTTCTCTAATAATTGGTACATGTTCCACTGGTAGATAATAGCAGGATCATCTTCTGAATAATATTTTCTTAAATAAAAGTTTCTGTGTTTGTGGAATTTCCTTGAAAAGCTTTTTCTGTGTATCTGATTCTGTTGTTTGCTATCTTATGTCTATTATGTTTAATTTAATGTGCAATTGCTTTCTGAAATCAAGAATGTGCTCATGTTTTATTCTAAACACTACTATATGTCAATTTTTAATAAACTAAATATTTAGCTACACTATATTTTGTACTCCTACCTTATTCTAATATAGATTATATGCTAATAAACTTCTAATGAAAAGATTCTATCTGTACTTACCTGTCTATCTTAGTTTCCTTTCCTTTTGTTGTGACAAAGTACCCTGACAAAGGCAAATCAATGGATGGAGAAAAGTTTATCTCACTCACAGTCTGGGTTACAGTCCATCACACCTGGGTAGTCACAGCAGCAGGACATGAGGGTCACGTCATAGTCAAAAAGAAGGGAGGTGAATGCCTGTGCCATCTCACCTTCTCCTTCATAGAGTCCAGGACCCCAGCCCAGGGCAGTGATGTCACCCACAGTGGGCAGGCCTCCCTACCTCAGCCTACTCAAGATACCACCCCACAGGCATGCCCAGCAGCCTCTCTCCCAAGTGTCTCATTTTATCGGGTTGTCAGTTAACACTAACCATCACATTGCCCATCTACTTATTCTTCATCTCAGTTATTTTCTCTAGGCAAATAAATTTATCATCAACCACATGCCTGACATGGTTCTATGACCAGAGACATAGTTGCTGAGAAGCAAATAGAACCTGTGACCTCTGGAGCTCACATCTAACATAGATTATTAAACATAGTTTATTAAAATGAGCAAGCAAACAAATGAGCATGTACTATGCTTTCTGGGGGGATTTATTATTTATAGGAAGAAAAGTGAAGCAGGGCACATGACTAGAGTGTTGGAAGTGGGAGGTTCTTTCACACTGAAACTCTCAGAGAAGCCGTCTGAGAGGAAATCAGAACTAAGGGAAAGACCTAGCACAACCGGGGGATGAAGTGCGGCAGGGGACGCTCATGCAAAGGGACGAACACATACAAAGGAATCTATCTGGTCTGTATGAAAAAATGGCAAGAAAGTCAAACACGTACATCACATAGGCCCTTATGAACTATGATCAGAGCTGGGTTGTACTCAGATAAAAGCTACGGGAGTGTGAACAGAGGAGTAACATGCTCAGATTCAGTCTTATGGGGATCCTTCCATCCCTCCAGGTGTTATACAAAGCAGCTCTGCGGCAGAAGTAGAGAGGCTAGTCTGGAGGCTGCAGCAGTGGGCCAGATATAAAGGACCTTAGACCTCTGTGGTAACAAGAGAGCTGATGAGGGGTCAGATTGGGATCTATTTTGAATATATGTATGCCGAACCAGAAACAGTGAGATTAGTTAACCTGCTGGATGTTAAAGATAGGATGATTTTATGATACTGTTCTGAATACATTTGCTTAGGGTCCTGTAAAACTGAGTAAATAAAGAGCTTTTATGCAGACCTATTAGAACTGAGATGCCTATGAGGCATCCAAGCTGAGACGCCTCAGAAGCCACTAGATCTGTGAATCTGCAGCTAGTGGAACAGCCTGAGTGAGAGGTATGTACATGATATTTTAAATCATTAAACAAGTTGGCTTAGAGCTTGAGAACATGTGGAGAAACTTGAAAGGACTGAGCCCTGATAGCCTCAGACATGTAGTCCACTGGAGAGAGAACGAAGTCACAGTCTGTACATATCTATAAAGCCAAGGGAAGAAAGGCAGGAGTCAGGAGAAAGCATGATCAGTTGGGTCACACGCCTGATAGATGAGGCAAGGCGGACAGTCATTGACCAGTGAATTTGGCCACCCAGAAATTGCTAGAAATCTTGTGAGGAAAGGATCAGCTGGGACAGTGAGACTAAAGCCTCACTGTGTAGAGAGAACAGGCACAGAAAACCCTTCCAGAGAGCTCTGTTATAAAGAGAACAGACAAGTGGGGGTCATGCTTGGGGGATCAGGTGGGGCAGAAGTTACTCTTTGGTTTCTCTTTTTTGGAAAGGATGGCCACCACTCCAGGTTGTTTATAAGTTGATGGATAATGAGAAATGATAAAGTAGGAAAAGAATAGTAATATGGAAGTTAAAGTGGACACATCAAACAGCTGAGACAGGTACAACAGAGGGTTTGCTCTCTGACAGGGGAATGAGCACTTCACTCATGAGCAAGAAGCAGGGCAGCAGCAGACGCAGAGGATGAGACCGCACTACAACAGCGCCTGGGAAAGCCAAGTGGTTCTCTTCTGCTTGGCCCAGTGTTCTCAGCTAAGCAAGCCATGGGCAGAGTCCAGAGAAAAGACGTGCTAGCTGGTATGTGAGGAGAGTGAAGGGGGGCGGAGCTGAAGGGAAAGTCCTGAATGATGTGGAAATGCTCGGCACTGCTGGGCTGACAGCGTTCAGCTTCCCCAGTGGCCTCCACAGATCCTCACGCTAGCACTCATTTGTATGATACCCTTCCCTTGACTGGATGGGCTCTACGGACTTGTTTCTAACAGAACTCGGATGAGATGCCATATCCTAGCTAACATGAGGTTGTCAAGAGACTGAGTTCCATCTTGGCTTTTGCCCTCCCTTGGATTGATTCCTCATGGGAAGCCAGGTCTCACATTGTGAGACAGTCTTGTTAAACTGATACCCCACAATAGTCACAGAAGTGGCCTTGGTTCTATATCCCCCAAACAAGCTTCAAATTAAATCAGAGACCTGGCAGAAAGCATGACTGTAATCTCAGGAGAGACCTGGAACCAGAGCTACCAAATGAAGTTGTGCGGATTTCTCACCCACAGAAAAGAAGAAAAATTTTGACTTGCTAAATTTTAGAAGTAATCAGTAGCTAATTAATGCATCCCAGTTGAAATTTGTGGTCATTTATAAGATGGTAAGTGCGAAGGTTTGTGTTTTTTCTATTCATGTGCAAATGTACAAAAAGTATGTAAGGGTTCCTGAAGGATCAGTGGACAGGGAGGAGAAGGGAGGAGGACAATGAAAGCTCATTCCAACCCTAACCTGCGTCCTCCTGCGTGATTTGCATTATTTCTAGTCAGCTTTTATATTCAGGCTTTTTAAACACAATTTTTAAAGGTTTATTTTTATCATTTTTAATTGCGTGTATGTCTCTCTGTCTCTCTCTCTCTCTCTCTGTGTGTGTATGTGTGTGTGTATGTGTGTGTGTGTGTGCAGGTGCCTGTAGAGGCCTGGAGACACTGGATCTCCCTGGAGCTGGAGCTCCAGGTGGTTGTGAGCCACCAGACATGGGTGGTGGGAACTGAACTCAGGTCATATGCAACAGCAGTAAACGCTCTTGAGTACTAAGCCATCTCTCCAGCCCTGTTTTGCATAATTTTTAAAAAGTCAATTTTAATGCAGCACTATAGGATACAAAGTATTTTATGAAGGAAGAGAAAAATTGCAGTATGATCTGTGTACAGATTGTATTCTGTGGTTCCTGTCATTCTCAGATTGGAAACATGCATTCTGGAATAGTCACAGCTGCAAAGCCAGGCCCTTGAGCTGCAGTTAAGTGATTATAAGCAAATTCTAAGTTTCAATCCCAGACATGGCCCCAGTCCTCTGTGAAAATGCAGACAAGCCGAGCCCTCTGTCAGGATCCAGAGGTCCTTCTGCTTCTGACAAATCATTCTGGAAGCCTGGATCCACCGTGCAAATCTGTTTTGCTTTCCTTGTGTGAACTCTTTGAGGACTAGGGATGACAGACATGTTAACACTTGGGTGTTAAGTAGCTCTCTATTAGGATCTCAAAGGGCTGCTTATCCCCCACCCCCCACACAATGCTCCTGTTTTCTCTGGGCCCATTTCTCTACTATCCTGTTTGCCTCATCTCATTTTTCCAACTGCTTTGGGGTCAGTTTTGCATGTTTTCACTTTTCAAAGTTTATGTGATAATATGGGTTTTTCATTTTAAAACATCTTTCAACACTAGTTAGCATTCACAGAGAATGTTTAGGGTCACAAATTTGATCTTGAATAAATTAACATAATTATGAAGCAAAAAGTTAGTTATTAACACATTTCCAATCAGCGCTGTGTAGACAAATGGCGAAAACATCACTCAGGAGCCGGTAACTCCATGTCCACTATTTTCATCTCACTGTGTGTTCTCCAAGTTCAGAGGAGCCTTGACCTCTGGTCTTCCTTTACTGACCTTCACAAGATTCTCCACCTGGGGCAAACATCCCATTGTCATGGTAACCATCTCTGCACTCACAGTGGTACCACCCAGGCAGGTTAATGCAGTTGGCACGGCTGTCACACTGAACGAAGCCATCAGAGCATTCATCGATGTCTGTTTGACAAAGAAAACAAAAGGGTGACTTTGTATAGGTTTCTCTTAAAGAAACTAGAACATTCTGTGATAAGTCTATGACAGTTCTTAATCCCAGCAGACCTTGAAACTGAGAAAATATAAAATCGATAGAGTCACTTGGTTGCTAAAAGCTGTGAGAAAGAATGTAGTAGCATTAGGAACCAAAGAAGCATCTTGAAGGCAAATCAGTCAACTGTGAAAGATGGAAACCACCTGTGACGGTCACCAGATTCTCGTCAAATATTTCCAGCTTCTCTTGACATGCTGGAGGATGGGAGTTTTCCAGTCCCTCAGGCTAAGTGTGAGCATGTGACTTTCTTCAGTCACATGAGGGGTGACAGCCAACACTTCCAGGAGAGCCTTTAAGGTGCTGTGTGTGACTCACAGGAACCCTTCTGCATCTGCATCACAACTAGCAACTTACAGAGGCTCTCAAGACCAATCTGAATACCCAAGGATAGCAGAACACATCCTACATTGTCTGCAATGAGCAGAGGTATGAGCAAGAAAATAATCAACAGCCTTGTGTGGTGGTGCACACCTTGAATCCCAGCACTCGCGAGGCAGAGGCAGAGGCAGAGGCAGGCAGATATCTGCAAATTTGAGGCCAGCTTGGTCTGCATAGTGAATTCCAGACCAGCAGGGGCTACAGGGAGACTGTGTCTCAAAAAACACAAAAAAAAAAAGAAGGAAAAAAGAAAACAACAAGGTTGCTTTAATCCACTGAGATCTTGGGGTCTTTTACTACTGTTGGCATAAAGCATCCAGATCAGACACACCACTCATCTTTAGTATATTTGACAAAAGCATTCATGCATTGCGTTTTCAAGAATCCTGACCATTCCTGCACTCTGTACTGTTTAAAACGTGTTATTGCAGTCCTCAGAAAACATCTTGCTATGCAGACAGTATATTGAACACATGAAAAAGCTGAAGCAAGAATAAGTTATGGGATTTAACACGGTCATAGAGTTCACAGCTGTCTCAGTTCATGCTTGCGGTCTTTCAGAAAAATAGACTTAGAGGCGGGAATTGGTAAAATGTATCTTGGGCTCAGATATTCCATCAGAAGCATATTATCATTCCGAAGTCCTATTTGTTTCGTTCAATCTGCTGAATGGTGGAGTATCCCACAAGGCCCAGTGTGGCTTCTGCTCATAGGGGTAGAAGTGGTCCCCGGGAGAGCTTTACAAACTATTCTTACTTCCTCAATACCTCCTGGTTTTCTGGGTCCCTTGACTTAACCGAGATCTAGCTGAATGATCTAACAGAACTACTTTACTGTGGCTGTCAAGAAACATTCACATTCACATGTACCAACAATCCCATGTTGACAGCCCTACAACATGATGGAACGTTCCACCTGCCAAAGTGGCCAGTCTTCTCCATATGCTTTTTACAGCTGTGCCATACTGCAAAGGCAGCTTTCTAAAAATATTTATTTTTATGTGTAGGAGTGTAACATCTGCATGTGTGTAAGCACACTGATGTTCGATGGCCATGGAGGTCAGAAGAGGGCGTTGGGTTCCCTGGAACTGGAGTTGCAGACAGCTGTCAGCAGCCATATGGGTGCTGGGACTCAAACCCGGGACCTCTGCAAGAGCAGCCAGTGCTCTTAAGTGCTGAGCCATCTCTCCAGCCCCCCAACTGTTTTTTGGAGTCCTTCCTCTCAGATAGTTTGTTCTAATCAGCAAAATGTATTTCTATTTCAATCACATCTAACTCCAAATACACGAATGCCTATTTTCACTTTGCTACTTTGGATTTTGGTAGTGCTGGTCAAACCCTGGGCCTTCAGTGTGCTAGGTAAGTACTCTATCACCAAGCTGCATCCCCAACCTAGCTTTCATTTTCTTTTTATGCTTCCTCTTTTCTGATGCTCAGTTAAAATTTATCTATTTAATTTGTTTTTCTGAGACAGAAATATATCCCAGAGTGGCCAAGACTATACAATGTAGACCAGACTTGTTTCCAGCCTGTAATCCTCCTTCCTCTGCCTTCTGAGTTCTGGGATTATAGCAGTGCCCCCCACCATCTACCTCTGCTGCTCCATTTTCAAAGGTGTGAGCTCATGAATACATGGATAAAAAATGTCTAAAAATCAAGCAAATGAGCTGGAACCTGTTTACTACTCGATAGAGTTCCTTCCATAAAATTAAATGTAGCACATCCTCTTAGATTAACAACATGACACACCAGACCAGGAACCAGCACTTCATATCACGGTGGCATTTCAGCATCGTTTCTCAACTATGAATATGTTTGTCTCTGTGATTCCTTCACCCAAGAGTCAGGTATGGCTGCCAGTAATTCCTATCACCAAAGTAACTGATGGCGGCAAGTCAGCTGGCCATTGCCTCCCTGCCAGGCAGCCACTGGGCTGACAGGCTCTGGAAACAGCCCCTTTGTTCTTCAGGGCTCTCCACGGGATGAACTTCTGACATAGAGTCGGGAGTGCTGTGTGCACTCTAGCCTTAGCCGGTCTTTCCTTCTAACAGAACTGATGCCAAGAATGGATTATGGCTTTTTGGACAAAAGAAATCAGGTGGAGATTTAAGCTTCAGAAGGAGTTTTGAGACCACCATGGGGGAAATGTGTAGAGTCTCTCCTTTTAGGGAAACTGGGCTCTTAGAACTGGTCATTGTAAGTAACTATTAATAGAACCACGTGTCAGCTACTGAAGCACGCCGAACCTACTTTCCTAGCTATCCTCAGTCCTCAGTTCTTCCAACTTAACAGGACTGCAAGATCATTGCTTCTCCGGGAAATAGGTGGACATTTCTATTGCTATTTCCAAGCTTCTTCCCTCCTCGTCACTCCTGTTCCAGCTGCCAAGCCCACTCCTATACAGCTGCCTGCCTACTTCCCTCGTTCACAGCACAGCACCCTTCCTTAATCTACAAGCATACTCTTTAAAATTTAAAGTAGAAATGTTACAAATTGTATTTCTTGGCATTTTAAAGACTGAAAATACAAGCAGATGCCTGCTATAATATACTATCACATACAGTTAGAGCATTATTTTATTTCCAAACTGTCATTACTATGTAGCCATTTAGAGGATGATGATTTATATCTATATCTATATCATCTATGCCCCATTCATTAATTTGACTTAATAACTTAATATCCATTAATGCCTGCTACATGCCAGTAGCTCAGTGCCTGGGAAAGGAAACAAATAAGATACAACTCTGCTCTCAACCAAGTGCCATCTATTTAAATTATACTTTAGTAAATCAGATTTATGAAAGCTGGAATTTAGAGTCACATAGAGAGAGCAGTTTCCCAACATCTGGACCAGTGATGTAGTTTATAGGTAGTGTAGACAAATAGTTCATTTGAATAGCTATGTATTTATTTTTCTCAATTGTTTCCATTTAAGAGCAAGTTATAATTATAGTACAGGAGTGAAATTGAATTTAAATCTAAAAACTGAGAAGAATTAGAGAAACAACATCAAGTAAATATTGGTATGATTATCATATATAACATATATTGATATGTTATAGGAATAGAACAAAATTAGGAAGTTGGAATGTATCAACACTGAGCATGAAGTCATTACGGTAGGAAAGTAACTCACTTCATCTAAAAGGTGACTCAATCTGTACACTGGTTAAATATTATGTATTTAGAATGGGGAAGAAACTGAATCTAAAGTGTGCATCTTATGCTTTTATTATCCTGCCAGTTTGGGCTTTGCTTGCGTTCTTTCGAGGCACCATCTTACTTTTGCTTCGTTTTTATTGTGCGATGCAAGGAAGGTGCACGTGAACCCATTTGCATCTGTCCACGTCCTCTCAGTGGGGCGCGCTCTCTAGCGCTGATTCAGTTTTTCAAGACACAATATGTTACTTTTGGGGATTACTCTTTTCCATCCAACATTATTTGCCTAGGATTAATCTAGATATTTATGTATACCAATAGTCTGTTTTCTTTTTGCTGATTTATCTTCCACAGTATAAATCATATTATAGTTGTTTTTATCATTCACCTATTGAAGATTATCTGGGTTTTATCATTCAGCTACCGAAGATTATTAGCACTGGGATGTGATTATTTTCCATTTTTTCCTCTGTGTGTGTGTGTGTGTGTGTGTGTGTGTGTGGCATATGCACGTGTGCACCTGTGTGCGTGGCTAGGTGCCCACACCAGGAGGACCTTTGGTGTCTTCCTTTATTACACTCTCCACCTTTTCTTCCTGGAGCTGTGTCTTCAGCTGGGATGGCTAACCAGCAAGCCCAAGTAATCCTCCTGTTTGAGCTCACAGACCGCCCCATCCCCAAACTGGCTTTTTATATGGGATTTGGAGATCCAAACTCGGGTCCTCATGCTTACACAGCAAGCACTCTTACCCACTGAGTCATCTCCCCAACCCCTCAAGTTTTTTTTATTTTATTTAGCATACAGAAACCAGAAACATAGGTACTTGAGTGCAGCGTATCTGAAGTATTTTTTCCATCGGCAAACAGTTAAATGTATCCAATTAATAAAGTCACATGATTGTCTTTTAGGGTGAGGAATTCTACTCTCTCAGCATTTTTCAAGAATACAAAATATTGCTATTAATTAGTCATTCCATTGTAAGGTCTCTTAACTCATGTTACAATAACAGGCGTTCACCCTTATAATAGCTCAGTAGTTTTCCCATTGTGCCTATATACATACATGTATGTTCATCCATTCTTCCATGGATTAGCTTTTATATTGATTCTTATCCTTGGTAGTTTAGTAAATAGCTGTGCAGCAAACATGGGGGTACAGGTATCTCTTCTACATACTGGTTTATTTAGATATGTATCCAGAAGTCAGACTGATGGGTCTTGTGGCTCTGTCTTTTATTTTTTAAGGAACTTGCATTCTGTTTTACACAGTGGCAGTAGTAATTTATGTTCTACCTACAGTGTAGAAGTGTTCACTTTCCTTCCACATCCATTTTGATGGGATGATAGCTCATTGCCCTTTCATAGCCATTT